TTAACCCAAAACACACTGGGACGCGCATCCTGGATTACCACGTGACCTCAAAGCACAAGAGGAACACGACTAAAAGTCACATAACCACCGGGAAATATTCCATTGGTGCGACTGTGATTTAAGTCACATCACAACCCCTTTTCGGGATTTGTCAACTGCAGATCACGTAGTTGTTTGTGCCTGTTGTCAAATAAGATTTTCCTGCAGAGTCATGCAGTGTTTTCCTAAAATCTGATCAATGCCAAAGCGGAGGAGTAAATCACACTATATCCGTTCCATTGAACTAATTCTGTTTTTAGCATTGCATTTCCTCATAAAATCAGCTGCATTTGGAAGAGGGAGAGAAAGATCAGCATGAGAATTCACAATAAAGCCTGCTTAAACAGGCATTTTTAAGTAAACATTGACAAAAAAAATATGGTAACAGGGAAAGCTGATGGAAAAGCTGAGCATCCCCTCCTCTTGTTTATCTGGGAGATGTAATCCTCAACAAATTGGGTCCAAGCTATCTCAAGAACCAGGTCTCCCTTTATGAGCCAACTCAGGTGTTAAGATCATGTCAAAAGTCAGATTACTAGGGATGCATATGCTCACTAATTTGTTCTTGGAGGTAAGAATGACAAATATAAAAAACGGCTCCCCACTGGGTGACATTGTGAGAAACTCTTTGTGCATATTTGGCAATTTATCCAGTATTTTTTTGTTGAGATGGAATCAAGAACGTGATTTTGTGCAAAAACTTCATATTTTGCACAAAGATTTTGTATTTTGCACAAAAATGTTATATTTTGAGCAAAAAAAAGCTTTTGTGCAAGATATCCAATTTTTGCGCTGAAGTTTTTGTGTTGGCCTTTTCACTTCCATGCACAAGTCCAAAATCTCACCACAGTTGATTATTTCCTCCCCTTTTTCATGGAGAGTGCAAATCTTGTATTTGCTGCATCCTTACAGACTACCTGATTCTATATATTCAGAGGCTCCGTCCTGCTCCCTCGCTCTGTTTTCCACCCATCACCATGATTTAGAGCTGCTCTCTGGTCTCACTACAGTGTGAAACTTATGGGACGGTGTGTGCTTGTGGCTTGGAATTAGACTCTTGAGGGCCTCTAATGGACAATAGCTGTAAATAGCACAGAGCCGAATGCAATGCGTTGACTTTTATTACTGGTATTATTTTGAACAATTGATGACTGCAGCTTAAAAATTCCTATGTGTTCTCAACGTGGTGAGAACATCGTGTTAATTGAAAAGGCCTTATTGTACTCTCTGAATGCCGCTTGCTCCCTGGTTCCCCCAGAGGTAAACATGGGTTGGAGGAATAAATTTTCATCTCACAATGCAGAGGCACTGTCCAAAATGTGCTTTCAAGCAACCAGTTCAAAATCTGTGCAAGCCAGTCACACATCACTAGGGAAGAGAGGTGGAATACAAATGGAAACAATTTCTAATGTCCACAAGATTTAAGCACTTTCTCAAATGTATCCTACTGAAACAATAGGCAACTCCAGATGTTTATGGGGTGTCCTAATTCTTAAATTTGTGACAAGAGAGAGAGAGGGTTGCCACTGAGAAGGTCCAAAGGAACTCTCTCTCCACTTGTGCAGACAGTCATAGTCATATGGAAAACTATGGGGTGGAGGGAACAGAACCACATCTCCCAGAATGCTCCCATTCAGCATAGCTGTTGGCTCAGAGGGAATCTGAGAGTAGCAATCCCAAAAAAGTAACTTTTCAAAGCTCTTGGAGAGACAGTAGAAGTGAGGTGATCCAAGACCTTTGATAACTGTTGAATCTTTCTACATGGTGCCATCAGGGCAGAATGAACCCACAGAACAATAGAAGAACAATAAAGGGGGGATCCATCCATCTCTACTACAGTGGTGCCTCGCTTAGCGATCACTCCATTGAGCGATGAAATCGCTTAGTGATGGGGTTTTGGCCATCGCCAGAGCGATCGCATAGTGATGGCCCCTATGGGGGAAAATCGCTTTGCGATGATCGTGGGGAAGCGATCATGGCAAAGCAAGCCTTTTTGTACAGCTGATCAGCGGTTCCAAAATGACCGCCGGAAAAACAAAATGGCCGCCCGCTGTTTTGCCTCACTTTAGAAGCACCGGAAATGGCCGCCCCTATGGAGGATCTTCGCATAAGGTCAGTTTTTAAGCCCATAGGAATGCATTAAACACGTTTTAATGCGTTTCTATGGGCTTTTTAAAATCGCTTAGCGATAGTCATCATGTGATGTACATATGTCAACCAGCCTTGTAGTGCAGTAGTTAAACTGCAGTACTGCAGTCAAAACTCTGCTCACAACCCAGGATCAATCCCAGGAAGCTGGTTCAAGGTTCACTCAGCCTTCTGTCCTTCCAAGGCTGGTAAATTGAGTATGCAGCTTGCTGGGGGGAGGAGGAAGACAATGTGCAGCCAGTCTAATCCATTTGTAAACTGTCCAGAGAGTGGTTTAAGCACTATGGCGTGGTATATAAGCAGCATGGTTTGCTTCGCTTTGAACCAGTCCCTTGGGCTCACGCAGAGGCACAGTGAGCACATCTGTAATACAGACGGAGGACATGCATCC